TTGAATTTCACCCTACTTTCTGTGTTGTCAAATCCTAGGCCACTTCTCCTGGGCACTCTTGGCAAGGATGGTCTCTACTCCTTTCCCAATATGCTTCATTCTCAAGGAACTGCATCTTCAACAAACAAGACTTGCTCTACTGTTCTTGTTATCAATTCTATCCATTCTGTTGTAGTTGTTAATAATAATAATTATGGTTCATGTTTGACCAGTTTTTGTTCTACCTTGTATCACCTTTGGCATTGTAGACTAGGCCATCCTAATCAAAATATACTCAAAACTGCCTTAAACACTTGTAATGTTTCCTTACTTAGTAAATCTAATGTTGATTTCTGTAATGCTTGTTGCTTGGGCAAGGCTCATAGACTTCCATCTATTTCTTCAACTTCAAATTTTACAATTACGCTTGAACTTGTCTAACAATGACTTGTGGGGTCCCTATCCTGTTCTTTCCTCTCATGGTCATTGCTATTTCCTCACTTATGTTGATGCTTACTCCAAATTTACTTGGATTTATCCTCTCAAACAAAAATCAAATGCCTATTTTGTCTTGATTCATTTCAAAAATATGGTTGAATTACAACTTAATGCTAAAATAAAGTTTGTACAAACAAATTGGGGAAGTGAATTTCGTCCTTTACACAAATTTCTTATAGATCTTAGCATTATGCATAGAATCTCTTGTCCATACACACATCATCAAAATGGTTCAGTGGAACGCAAACATCATCATATTGTTGAAACTGGTCTTACTTTACTAGCTCAATCCAATTTAACTTTTAGATTTTTGGATCATGCTTTCCTCACAGCTACCTACCTCATCAATAAGCTTCCTACACCAGTCCTTCATCTTAAATCATCTCATCTTGTTCTCTTTGGTCAACACCCTGACTATAAGTTCTTGAAGATATTCGGTTGTGCCTGTTTTCCATTTCTTCGTGTCTATAACTCTCATAAAATGTCTTTTCATTCTAAAGAATGAGTCTTCTTGGGTTATTCATCTGATCATAAGGGTTACAAATGTCTTTCCTCTAATGGTAGAATTTTTTTTCTAAGGATGACCTCTTCAATGAGCATCAGTTTCCATACACTGATTCATTTCTCTCCTTTCCTGTCTCAGCATCCAATCTCCCTAGCTCCTTTCCTACCTCCAACGTTTCATTGTTATCTCTAGCATCCTCTACTCACACTACACCAGGTTTACCTTCTCTCAACTTACCCACTCAATCTTTCTCTCAACTAGCTCCTGCATCTCACACAGCTCCCACTAATCCATCTATTCCTCCCACTGATTCTGCACCTTCAACTTCTCCATCCAATCTACAACCTGTATCCCATCCTCTTAATTTCCATCCCATGATTGCTCGAGCAAAAGAAGGAATTGTCAAACCACGGTTACATCCTACTTTACTTTTAACTCACTTGGAACCTACTTCCTACAAACATGCTATGACAGATCCTAAATGTTTTTCTACTATGCAAGAGGAATATAATTCTCTAATCAAAAATGGGACTTGGTCCTTAGTTCCTCTCCCTGCAGGTAGGCAAGCAATCAGATGCAAATGAGTGTTTCGTGTGAAAGAGAATTCTGATGGCTCTATAAATAAGTATAAGGTTTGGCTATAGCCAAGGGCTTCCATCAGTAGCTTGACTTTGATTATAATGAGACCTTTTCTCCTGTAGTTAAGCCTGTCACAGTCAAAACCATCCTCTCCTTGGCTGTTTCCAGAAGGTGGTAACTTCAACAGCTTGATGTTAACAATGCTTTTCTCAATGACATTCTTGAGAAAGAAGTTTTCATGGTTCAACCTCCTGGTTTTGTCTCTTCTGACAGTAGCCTAGTGTGCAGACTTCACAAGGCTCTCTATGGCCTTAAACAGACCCCTAAAGCATGGTTTGACAGACTTGTCTCTACTCTTCTCAACTTTGGCTTTATTTCCAGCAAATATGATCCTTCTTTGTTCATTCTTAACACTACTACACACTATGTTTACATTCTGGTTTATGTTGATGACATAATCATCACTGACAACTCTACATCCTATATTCAGCAACTTATTAAGTCTCTCAACTCTTAATTTGCTCTCAAAGATCTTGGACAACTTGATTATTTTTTGGGTATTAAGGTTCATCATCTCTCCAATGGGTCTCTCCATCTTTCTCAAGCCAAATACATCAAAGATATTCTTGCCAAAGCTAAGAGGACTGATACAATCAGTATCTCTTCTCCTATGGTTGCTAATCTCAACCTCTCCAAGCATGGTGCTAATTATGTTGAAGATCCATCTCTCTACAAATCTATTGTTGAAGCACTACAATATGCCACCATAACTAGACTAGAAATATGTTTTGCAGTTAACAAAGTTTGCCAATTCATGTCTAATCCCTTAGAAGATCATTGGAAAGTTGTAAAAAGAATCCTAAGGTACTTAAATGGCACTCCTCATCATGGCCTCCTGTTGCAGCCTTCTTCTGCTTCCTCTCTGCCTCTTATAGCTTTTTCTGATGCTGACTGGGCTACTGACAAAAATGACAAAAGATCAACTTCTGGCTCCTGCATCTTTTTGGGGCCAAACTGGTGTCCTGGTGGTCTAAGAAATAGACTCTTGTTGTAAGATCTAGTACAGAGACATAATACAGAAGTCTAGCCTCAACCACTATTGAGCTTCTCTGGTTGGAGTCTCTCCTAAAAGAACTCAAGGTCCCCTATCAACCTCCTATCCTTTACTATGATAATCTTAGCACAGTTTCTCTTCCTACAATCCAGTTCTCCATACTAGAACCAAACATATGGAGCTTGATATTTTCTTTGTAAGGGAAAAAGTGCTTAACAAAAGTCTTATTGTTAAGCACATACTAGCAGAGTTTTAGTTTGCTGATGTGCCTACCAAGCCTCTATCTCTTGCTCGATTTCAAGTGCTCAGATCCAAACTCAGGGTTTTTGACAGATTAAACCTTCCCTAAGTTTGAGGGAGAAATGTTAGTGAATAGTTTTTGTTAGCTTCTGATGTATTACAACCGCATTGTATTAACCCATGTGCTTAATTAACCTGAGTCAATTATGCTGATTCAACTTTCTGTTGATGTATTAACCCATGTGCTTATTAGAATCTGAGTTAGTTTTGCTGACTCAGCATTCTATTCAACTTTTTGTTGTATTGAGAGTGTAACTATAAATACCTCTTTTCTCTTTGTATTCAATATGAATAAAAATACAAATTATAGATTTATTTCAGAAAGCTCTTTAGTTTCTATTATTCCTCTCAGTTTCTACCAATTCTATCATCTTTTTTCTTGGTCTGTGTTTGATTCATCACCTCTTTAACTTCAAAATATGATGTAGTTTGGGATTGAACTTTGCCCATATTTTTCGCTAGCCTCTAAATCAAGGATGAGCTAAAAATTCATGACTTTAGTCCTTTAACAAATTTGTTTACAAACATGTTTTCTTCTAGTTGAAGATTTTTTTAAAATGATTTTAATATTTAATATAGAATAACTCTTGATATGATAAAAATATTTAAGAAAAAAATATAATGTATAAAATGAAATTGACTTCTTATATGAGAACTAATATCTTGCATAGATTAACTTTAATTTATAATTTTTTTTAATTCTTCTATAAATAATTTCAAAAAGTTCATATAAACAAATTGTAAGACTAAAATGTAATTTAAAGTGTAGGAAGAAAAAGTATGGTGTCGGAGGAGAAAATCCAACCATGTAAAGTTCATATTGAGTCCATTTTCAAGATATAAGAAAAGGGTATAACCCAATTCTCTGCATCTGAAATTCAGCCCAATTCTCAGCTAATAGGTTCCTTCATGTAATTTATCTATAATATATATATATATATATATATATATATAAATGTTTACTTATTTATAATATGTACTAAATATGTAAACTTTCCATAGTTAACAAACAAAATCATCATTTTCACATTTTTGTTTTTTTTATTAAAAAATAAAACTGAATTTCCATAATCATCAAGAAGTTCACATTTAGATTTTTCAAAACCCATTCTTTTCGTGTTATTAAAAGGCATTTTTGGGAGAAGATAAAGGTTGACACAAGTTATACTTCTTAACATGAATTTTCTTTCCTTTCATTTATTTCTCTCCAACTTTTGGTTTCATAAGTTGCATCAACATTGTTCAAGACTCAAGACTTAACCCTAACACCAAATGAAAGAAAGAAAAATCATCACCACAAAGCAAAGTGCAAAATGTTTCATAACGTGATTGACTCAATGTTTCCCTTTTCAACCAAATGCCTAAGTCTCGTAAAAATTACATATATGCATCATTTGATGTTAAATACAATTTGGATATAGGTCATTTATCACTCACCTAACTCTTCTTTAATTTAATATTTTAAAAATAAAAATAATTATCAATTTTTTTAATTATTAAACAGTTATATGACCAAATTTATATATATATATATATATATATATATATATATATATATAACAATATTAGTTATGTATCACTGAGAACATATATTTTAATTTACTTTTAATAAAAAACTATTTTAAAAAATTAAATTGAATATCTAAGATAATAAGAGAGAAAATAGATAAAACATATTTTTTATATATTTTTACAATTGAAGGGTGAAGGAATTTGATATAATAGTTAAGTAAAAATCTATCAATAATTAATTCGTTGCATTCAATTTGATTAGATGAGTAATTATATAAAGTAAAACTTTGGTTCAAGAAGAAATATGTCTATTTGTAAAGGAATGAGTTAAACTTTTTTATTTTTTTACATAATTAATAAAGTGTTTTTCTTGATACTTAATAGTTAATTCCTTGCATGTGTGTTATTTATGGTGTTGCACATGATGAGGAAAAGTTTCTTAAAAACAAAGGAAAGTTTGAAATCTGACTTTATTAACTGTACACCACTTAAGGTGCATAGACAAAATAAAAAAGAATTTATTACACGCGTCGACAGAAGACAATAGTGAAGAAATAATCGACGCAATTAATTTTAAGGACACTTGTGTCTTCCACCATGAGTAGTCAAATTTGCGTAGCATGGACATTCTTCATAGTGACCATTGGTTCCCGAAGGCACACAATTGCACTTTTCACAACATGTTCCACATGCTCTCTTACATAGATTTGGTCTTGATGATAATTGACACCTTCTACTGCATTCGGCATCACAATCTATACAAAACAAATAAAATAATAAACATAAACTCTTGAGAAACAAATTAATAAACATTAACTTTCAAAATGAAGTGTGAAATAATTTTTTATTGAAAAAAAAATCATATGTACTTTTAAAAAAATTTATTAGAACGCTTTTATAGGGAATTTGTAAGAATTATTAAAGAATAAATATTAGAATTAATTAATAAATTAATTTTTGACTTATAACAAGTTTAAATATAATTTAATAAAATATAATTATTTATTATAGGAAATTATAATAAAAATAAAGATAAAATATAATAAAAATGTATAGTATTAATAAAAGGATATTAGAGATAAGATTCATTAAATCATTAAGTGTGAGAAAATAAAGAAAACACAAAAAGATAAAATTGAGAAAAGAAGATCGGAAAATAAAAATATTAAAGAATGCATTTATATTAAATTTCTTCTATGATTAAAGTTAGTCTCTTGTTAAATCTCTTTTATAATTCATGTTATTGTGTGAGAATTATGAATATAAAGATAATATATAAAATAATTTTTTTAAATGAATTAGGAACCTAGAAAAACTATAAATTAATTTACAATAAATTATATATATATATATATATATATCATAATAAAATAATATTTTTATTCATAAATATTTGTTGTAAACATTTTTAAAGGTGTTTTGTGTTTTATTAAAAAACTCAAAGATAAATAAAATAAAGTAAATAAAAAAGAAAAAAATAGGACAAAGAATAAGTTATTTAAAATTTTTTGAAACAAAATTTATATAATAAAAATTGTTTAAATATGATATCACATAATAATATTATATTTTATATTTTTTAAGATAAAACAATAAATTAAGTTATTCTGTATATCTTTGTAAACAAATTTAAATGAAAAAAAGGAGTAAAAATATAGAATTTGTATCATTAATTATATTAATAAAAGAGATTCTGAAATTGTTGTTTTGTTCCTATTGATTTATCTATGCAGGAACATTCTGGCAAGAATTTATACCTATGATTGGAGGTGAAGGTGAAGGGGAAGGGCTAGGAGCTGATCCCTCTACCATGTTCTTGATTTCCTGCGATGTTTAAGAAACAGAACATCAAACAATTCATTTTGAAGGTTAATTAAAAAAAATTAAAAAAAAAATTGAGGGAACACACAAATTGAAGATATAAATTAAATGAAAAATTAGGTTTACCATTGTTTCTGATTCCACGAGAATCACAATGACTTGTGAGATGAGGATTGAAGCTAGGAGAGCCTTAAAAATGGCCATGACTTGAAGATGAAAGTTTGTTTCTTTCAAGATGAGAGAAGCTTTTGAGTGTTGGTAGATGGATGAAGAGAAAAAGTGTGGCTGTATTTATAGCCCTTAGTTGCATCGAAGATTTCAATGTTGTTGCATTAATTGCTACGCGTGAAAGAATTCTCTATTTAGTTCAAGTGGGTCCCTTTTCTTTTTGTTCAAGTTTAAGATTGTGGTTGTAAAGGTGTTGGAGATTTATAAAATCAAAATTGTTTCTTTTTTTTTTAAGATTTTTCCATATACTACAGACAATTATGACATGGAGGATTTTTTTTTTTATATATTACAATGGTTATTTAAAAGTTATATAAAATCTGTTATTCTTATTAATTTGTAAAAAAATATTTGTGTTTTTTTATATACATTTTATGAAAAAATTGTGTGTCCTTTTTATAAAAGAATTTAAATTTAAATATGTTTTAAGTTTATACAAATATAGTCCTATTTGATTTTTTTTCTTTAAATGATTGTTAATTATAGGTTCCGTTAGTATTTCTTTTTAGTTCTTATCCTTAATCGTATTTAGTTTAGTAAGAAAAAAAATTACAATAAGAAAATATTTTAAATTGAAATAATTGAATTATATTTTGGGAAGTAATAAATAACTATTCCATTTTTTTATTACTTTTGTTGAAACATTTATTAATTTTTTGTTTACAAAATATTATTTAAAAAAGATAATTACGTATCTATAAACATCAATTATTATACAAACACATTGTTGCTCTGCTGTACTTTTTTATTTTTTTTAATTATCAGTCTACTTTATTATTTGAAATATAAATCTCAATAATTTGAAGTTATACGTGATACAAATACACATTCTTCCTCAATCTCGTATAAAATGACAATAATATTCTTATTATATTTATAAAGCTAGTGAAACATGTTTTTGAAATATTTTAGATTGAAAAATTTAGAATTTTTTGTGATGAATGAATCTGGAAAATAATTTTATCATTTGGATAAATTCAAAAATTTTCAGAATGTTAAATATGAAAATGATTTTTTATAAAATATAACTTTATTATTTTAAAAAATTTAATCCAAAATATTTCTAAAAAAATTGATTCTTTTTCAAAAACATTTAAAAAACTCAATCCGAAATTGTTTGGAAAACTGAGTCTATAAAGCTTTCGAAAAGACTAATTTATATATTTTTTTTTAAATTGAAAAAATTTCTAGAAACATTAATTTAAAATATTTCTGAAAAGTTTTTGGATGATAATATTACTTTTGAATGAATATGGGGTGCCAGAAAAAATCAGCTGAAACAAAATATCTGAATGTACTCCCTGATTTATGATAACCCAAACTAACAAAGTGATTAATGGACAAAAACGTTCAAGTCCAAAAGTCAAATTGGGCTGGCCTTCTATAATTTGGACCAAATATCAAACTTAAGAAGTTTCAAAGTAGAGGGCCCAAATTAAAGGAGTTTTGGCAACCGAATAAGTTCTTTCTTCTTAGTGAAATACCTAAAATATCTTTTTCTATAATTTTGTTTTTTACCTTATTTCTTCATCTTTTATTTATATATAATTTCTGTACTTTCCATCCGTCAACATGTTCATCTCTTGGCTGTTTGATTTTGTGCTATCACTTTCATTAAATATCTTTTCTAATAATTAAAGGAAAATAATAGTTAATATTATTAATAAATTACACTGAATATCTTTTCTAATAATTAAAGGAAAATAATAGTTAATATTATTAATAAATTACACGTTTATGTACTCAAATTATACAAATTGACCTAAATTGTTTAATGTAAAATAGTATCATGAAAATGAAATTCAATTTCGAAAAAGTCAATCCAAATATACATTTTAAATTGAGTATTCGAAATGCATTTCTAGAAACACGATCTGAAACACTCAATCTGAAATGTATTTTCTGAATTGACTTTTTCATAAATATATTCTACAATAGGTGTTTCGGAATATGTTTCTAGAAAGATCAATCCAAATATAAAGAAAAAGATAAATATAAAGATAAAATAAAATTTAATTTAATTATAGGATGTTAAAGAATGCAAGAGAAAAAGAACGACATAATATTATATTAATATAATGTAATTTCTATACGTGAATTATTAAATAAAAACTATTAAACACATATAAAACTTATATTATATAGTCAGTGTTTCTTAAACTTTATTAACGAATGATGACGTGGTAAAATATATTAAGAGTAGTTTTATGAATGACTAGTAGTTTTGTTAATTAATCTCTTATAAAATATGTTTACATAGTATGATTATTAGAAAAATCGTTATTAAAAGATGTAACATTTTTTTAATTTTTATTTATGTATAACAAAAGATTCACCTTTATAGTTAATTTTTGAAGAAAACATATAATAATACCTTATATATAAGTTAATTTTGAAATTTGTTTTCCTTTACAAATTCTTATTTATGGTTTATATAATATTATTTTATTTAGTTTTAGAATTTATTTAAACTATATAATGTTTTAATATTTATAATTGTATTGAAGTTACGTTTAAGGAAATGAGGATATGTTCATTTAGTTAAATGAAACTTTTATTTTTATTTTGTTTCAAAATCTATTACATAATTTTTTAAGAATATTATTTATTTATTTATATTAATATATATATATATATATATATTTTAAGATTTAAGATTTAGCGTTTAGGATTTAAGATTATAATAATAAATATAATAATTTAAAGTTTTATATTTTATTTTTAATTAATTATTTGAATGTTACATATGTCACAAGTGTAATGTATATATAGATTGTCTAAAAATAGATTTATTTGTAATCATGTCATCATCGTGTACATAGTTATAATTAATTTCAAATTATATATGAACTTTCGTAATGACCTTTTTTTTTCCTTATTTTATATTTTCAAAGGTCAATGAGGTTACTTCATAAGGTTTACTTATTACAAAATATGCTCTGAGTTCCTTGGATGAATATATTAACTATTGTGGTAAGTCATAATATCCTTGCGGTGCTACATTTATAAGTGTGATACGGAAAATTTGACACTTAGAGGAATTTAAGAATATTTGAATGAGAATACTTCAATTTGTGTTATGTAAATTTAAATGTGCTCCTTAGGACATGCAACTTTACCCTATGAGTCTATCATTAATCATTTTCAAACAAATGTTTGGGCACTTATCTTACATGTTGTGTGCATGATGAGTTCATCATGAATTAAAATGTACTTATGTCTCTTCTTTAGTTGGTGTTTTTCATTTGATAGTTGGTTTAATTGTTTTATAAGGGAATATGTGAAATGCTTATTGCTTTTCTTTTTATGCATTCCTTCCAATTCAAATTCACGTTATGCAAGGTTTTTGTATTATTATGGTAATATTGATAATTCTCGTTTGCTTTTTCCTCCAAACCTCTAAGGGTAGCATAAAGGTCCTCATCATTTTTATGTAAGATTTTGAGATTGTCTTGTAGTTGGACATTAGACGGTTGTTTGGATCTCCTTAATATGTTTTTTGAGACTAGATTTTATGGTGGTCGTGCTCATGTTAAGAATTGATGAACTTGATTGATGACTTATATGGATTATAGTGTAGAGAGGATAAAATGGATCAATATGCACCATTTTGACCCTTAGAAAATAAGGTGTGACATATTGATTTACTATAATCACTACGGATTATAGATCTTGATCCGCTTTGCCATAATTTTTTTAAAATTAATTTATTTGACTTTTCTAAATCAATATTTTCAATAAGTTTAATAATAACATTATTATTTATTTGTCAATATATATTTAAAGTTAATAATATAAATGGACACATTTAGTTAAGAAATTATAATTTAAAATAATCAAATTAAGCTAAATTTTATATAATAATAAATAATAACAAATATACGTAGGGAATATCAAAACTTTTAAAATCTCTATTTTTCATATTGAAAAATTAAAACACCTGAAACGAAAATTATATTTATTTTTATATTTGATAAAATTTTACATTATTCTCTAGTGAGGATAAGAATAATCAACGTTTAAGATAAGCAAGGTGAATAAGAGCATCTCCAAAGGAAGTTGCTACTAAAAGTTGTTTAGGAATAAAAGTAAATATTTTATTTTGGGTCTTATATCGGAGTTGCTTAAAAGTGGAGAAAGTTGCTTAAAATTGGAAAAAAATTGTTTATATAAGCAACTATATGACCAAATTTTAAGTAATTCAATTATAGGACCTATAATAAAATATTCAATTTTATTTTTAAGTTATTCTTGTTAAAAACTCCCTTTGGAGATGTTCTAAGGAAGAAATGATGTGTAAGGAGAAAAAGATAAAGAGAAGCTTGTTCTTGAGAAATGAGAATATTTCTCGTAGTGAATAAGTGAGAGTGAGACTTATTTTAATTCTCTTTTAACAAAATTTCCACCTTATATGTTATTTTTGTGATTGGCGGTATTATAATAAAAATATTTTTATTTATATCAACCAAGCATATCTGAGTCGGTCCGATGATTTAACAAGATGAGCAGACGAGACTAAAATGTCAGCCGACCCCATATCTATGAGACGGTCGTTGAACTAGACCCATTTTTCTATTCATACCATAGTGTGTTGTAGTCTTGAGAGTTTTACCTAGCTCCCAATGTATGTGAACTTGGTTACGTGGAGATCCTTCAATGAGACCAATAAACTTTGGGATAGTAATAAAACACTAATGAAACGAGGAAAAAATCCATATATAAATATTATTTCATATTTAACTTAATAAGTATTTAAAGAAATTGAGATTAATACTTATGAAGATTGAAATAAAATATTTTTATAAATAAAGATAAAGATAAAAGTTTGAGAAATTAGAATAATAAATTGGATATAAATTGTTTATTGTAAATTATATACTTAATTTAAAATAATTTCTTGAAATGTTGTATTTTAAAATAAAATATATTTTTCATATAACAACTATTATAAATATGTGTGTCAAGTAATATTTAAATTATTTTCGTCTTGTACATTATCAATTATTTTGTTAATTTTTTAGTTACTATCGTTAAATATGTCAGATGATGTTACATGATATAATAGTTTAAGTGTGTGGCTTTAAATGTCATTGAGAAATAGTATATCCATATCTTCTTCTTTTGACTAATCTCTCTACACTAAGATGATAAAAGGAGTTTTCTAAGGAAAATGGTAGAAAAGAGTTTGTGTATCTTTAGTCCTATGACTAACCCCTTAAGACACTTGACCATTTTTTATATAATATAAAAAAAAAGTTATATGATAATGTACACTAAGCCTATGTTTGAATTGAAGAGATGATTAGAGGGAGTAAAAAAATAGAATAAAAAAGATAAAAAGTGAGATTATTTGAATGGATATGGAAAAATAGTGAAAAATGAAAATAAATAAATAAAAAAGATTGTAAAAGATAAAATTAATTTAATTAATATTTTTAAAAACGGGTCACTAAACCTACCAAGACATTAGTTCGAGATTTAAAATGTTTAGTCAGATTTAAATGAGATTTAATAAAATAATATTTTTATAATATAATAAATTCATTAATAATAATAATAGATCATAATGGTACATTGTATATAGATTATAGATGGTTATAGATATATTAAGATGGACAAGTAATAAAACAATAACATAATAAAATAATTATTATTTAAAGTTGATATTACTAATATGAAATTAAAAAATAAAATATATTATATTTTTATAAAAAAATTGATATATTTTTTTATCAAAATCGGTTCAACAAAAAATTTAGTCGATTTAATTAAAATTCAATTATATAAAAATAACAAACCAATTTTTATAATAATTCTTTGTTTAGATTAGTTTACTGGTCGATCTAATCTAATTTTTAAAACAGTTGATTTAATTGATTAAAACAAATGAAATAATAGAATAAATTAATGAATGACCAAGATATCTTATATAAGATGATCTAAACACTTTTAAAGGATAAAATAGATATTTAATTTTGTTGTCTTTCCTATCTAGTAAAAGGGTAAATATTGTGCATTTGGGCCACAATCTTTCTCTACGAATCAACCCATATCTCTTAATACAAGTACACACTTTTGTCTCAAATTTCCACCCTCAATTTTTTTTTCTATGGTAGAATATTGTATCAAAATGAAGGTATAAGAGGAATGAAGTACGCATCAACCGGAAAGGAAAACAAAAAAATGAAGGGTGGTAAGAGTAGATGAGAAGCTAAAGGCAATTACAAGAAAAGAAAGAAGTTATGGCATTTGGGTGGCGGAGGAGAAGAAGCATAAGGATAAGAGAAAGGAGGAGGTAAAAATGGAGAGAGATGGAAAAAGGATGGTGGAGAATTACAGAGAATGAGAATTAGAAAGAAGGAGAAGGGATATATTGGTAAAGAAATACGCAATTTTATTTTTTTTACTTGTGACTTTTTATTTTAAAATATATGAAAAATAATATTATTTCTTACTAGATACTGCAAGCTACACACTTCAACACTCACTTCACATCAAACAAATTTAATAGAGTAAATTTTAATACATGATAAGTATATTAATTATCATTATAAAATCAAATATTTTAATTTTTTTTAAGATTTTGTAATATTGAACACAAACTAATGTCATGTCTTTCTATGATACTTATTAATTATATTTAATTTTTAATATTTTATTTGTAAAAGTTAATTTGGAGGTTTTAATAATTTGAAAATATAAAACTCAAATTTAAAAGTGTATTAAAAATAAAAAATAAAATAAAGAAGATGAAAACGTACCAATCCATAAATTTAAAAACTAAATAATAATCTTATCATAATTTTACAAAGATTTAGATTTAAATTTAATCAATTAATTGATTCAATTAATAAACCAAATTAATTATACGAATTAAATTAAAGTATCATTCAATCTAATAAATATTTAATAATCAAATCAAGATTTAATTTATTTGATTCTAAAATCATAAGCACAATTTGCAATAAAAAAACAAAATAAGATTAAAGGATAAAAAAAATAAACTCAAAATAATAAATGATCAACGTAAAACTTAAGACAATTCATTAATTGATCCTTCAAATTTAGTTTTTCACATACGAAGAATACTTCGAAGAATAAAAGAGAATAAGAGAAAAATTAAAAAATAATTTTCAAATTAAAAATATGATAAAATGATTTTTGTATATTAGATTATAACACATCTACACTATTTAAAAACTTTGAAATATGATGCAAACATGAGTTTAAATATAGACTTTAAATAATTTCATAAATTTAATTTTCACAAAAATTGAAGTTAATATAAAGAAAATTTAATTTGTATGGATTATTTTACAAAATTTTAATAAACTTATCTTAACTTTTAAAAATCATATAAAATTGTAGAGTCTCCAAATCTATAAAATCATATTTTCATTTTAAAGTCAAAGGCTTATAGAATCTAATACAATTGAAATTAATTGAAATTAACCAAAAAATGATATCTAAAAAAAATTATAACAAAAATAGTGAACAAATGATATATGTTTAAAATACAAAATTAAATTAAACATGTACATTAAATTCAATTTTAATTATTAACAAATAAATTAAAATTTAAAATTAAAATATAAAAAATACATTTAATGTATAATAAAATTATAACTATATAAAAAATATGTGTTTCATCATATAAAATATTTAAAATATATTTAATACAAATATTTATAAGAAAATTTTTCTATTAACAACCTCAACTTCTCCCATATAACTAATTATATTAATAAAATAAATAACATTATTATTATTATTATTATTATTATTATTACTATTATTATTATATTATATTAATTTAGTTGATTATTTATTAGAGATAGAGTTTTTCAATTGATTGTACCTCTATTTATAATATATATATATATATATATATATATATATATATATATATATATATATATATATATTCTTATTATTCATTAAAATACTCCCCGTTGAATCAAGAGATGCCATACTCCCAAAATCGATTTGCCACTTGTATCAAATTTGTTTTATCCATTTAAAAATTTGATTCAGGTCGGAAAATTTTCAACATTAACCATTTCTTATGTTATTTTACTGTTAATTTTTTTTTTACGTTTTTAAAATACTATAAAAACGTTAAAATTCAATACAAATTGATAATATTAAGAATTTGGCGTGGAATACCGGCATGTTTAACAGTTTTCTTCAGGAGTATTTTAAAATTAAGAAGTAAGTATAAATATTTTTTTTATAAATTAAAATTTAAAATAACTTATACATAAATTAATTTTAATTTATAAACAAATATTATATATATATATATATATATAATTTTTTTTCTACAAACTCTTATTAAAAAAACTTAACATGTCAATAGGTATACTTGTCAACACTATCAAACAAAAATAAATCAACACAAGTGGGCAGTTTTCTTGATGAAAACAGAGAAAATTTTAGTGAATAACGTGGTACAAGGAATATTTCGGTAATTAACTTTTTATTATTAAAATTAAAATTTAAATTAAAAAAATACAGAAAAGTGCACAATGAAAATTAAAAAAAAGAAAAAAAAGAAATCGGTTTTATATGCGATTGATTTATGCGCCACTTCTTCATCTTAACTCAAAGCCACCTTGCTTTTTCCATGGAATCATTTCCCACATAATCAAAACTTACAATCAATATTTTGAATCTTCCACTTCTTTTTTCTTCCTCTTTAAATAACCCATTAATGTTTTCCCTAGAACCCTACCTCATAATTTCCATGCTAATCAAACCATATGATAGCATGAAATTGAATGTCCCAATAAAATTAAAAAATAAAATAAAATAAAAAATCTATTCTACTATAAGAAATATAATAATTACTTTAATGTTTATACCCTTGGAGAAATTTAATATCTAAACCTAAAAAAATGTTACTAAGTGTAAATAATTTTTTTCACCAATTAATTCATGGAAGTGGCATTGAATAGTACAAATTTCTTGTGGCACCCTTAAATGGTAGTTAGATCTTTGGCACTGTTCTTCTGACTTTGGGTGTAATTTGGTCTGAGAAATACCTTTACTTAAAAAAAGAACCTGATTCTCTGAACACGAGGCACCAATTACTTTCCTACTGAACTCAACCAAAAACCAAAACCAAAACCAACCACTGTGTTTGTAGTGTTAACATGTAAGAAAGTAGGCACAGTACAATCTCACTCCCTTTTTGTCTCTCTCACCACTTCCACTTCAACTTCACCAGACATAACAACAAACACCTTCAACCACTCAACCTTCTCTTTCTCTTATTATTATCCTTAGTATAATAATAATAATAATTATTGTTGTTGTTGTTATAAGTTATTATTATCACTCGGATTTGTTATTTTTCTTTGGAGAAATGGACAAAGCTCGGAACATGAGGCGTGGAAGCAGTGTGTTCTCAAACATGAACAAGCGACGACACAAATGCAAACACAACCTCCTCGCTGGTAAATTATACAACACCAACTTTTTCTGCGCTACAAGACAAATCCTATTTTATGCTTGTCGTTATTCATGTTTTTTTTCCCCTTGATCTTTTCCGATAACGAAGAGTTTGCAGATAACGTTTGTGTTCTTGGTTTTTCTTTTTCTTGTTTTCCCTTGCGTTGTTACCTATTTTCGTTCTTGTTTGGTTTGTGAGACAGTTTTCAGCCGTGGGGACCTTCGATTCTCGGAGAAATCGAAGAAGGAAAAGGTGAGAAGCTTGAGTGCGGTGGGAACGGCGTCGTCGAGGTTCCAAATGAGTTGCCATGTCTCTCAACAACAACAAACGCGTGACCCTTCTTCAACCGTCGTTGCCACCACCAAGAGATTCAAGCTTCATAAAAATGTATGTTCTTCTTACTATGTGCTTAATATTTTTTTTTTCATGTCTAATTTTATATAAATTTTGTCAAGGTAGCCTGTTTAGAAAATAATAATAAGTTGAAAAAATAAAACGAATTAATTATAGATTAATTTATACAAACTCTCTGTCTTGTTAATTTTTCTAATAAATAATTTTAATTTATTATTATATAGATTATCGAGAATCTAAAGTTCAACTTGAATACTAAAAGCATATGAGGAAGTGGATTTTTTTTTAATTTTTTTTTTGGTTACTTAGATTTTTTTTTCTAACTTTGATGAGTTCGTTGTGTTTGTTTCTTTCTCTACTTTGAATTATTTGGCAGTTTTTGAATGACTGCAACGGTGCCTCTGTTCCACGGAAGCTACGTTCAGGTGCGTGAGCTCCAAGTTCGAAACCAAAGCGTTTGTTATGTATGCATAATATGCACTTTCCTTTGTAATTCTCTTTTGTTGTTGATTTTGGATTCGAGTTGAAGCAATCTCTGGGAAGCTTTTTTTTTATTATTTTTTTTTTCTGTAATTGTTGGACTAAGGATTTGGTTTTGGTCTTTTTGTTTTACTTGTGAATTATTGCAATATGTTTTACTTCCACTGATATGTAATATATTAATATGCTTAAGCTTTTAATTGACCAAGTAGTTTTCTTCTTCTGCATTCAATCTTGTGTAGATAGTGGGGAAAAATACATTATTTGCTAAAAATATTATGATTTTGTTTTGCTATTTTGAAACTACACAGCCACGAAGAAACGGGGTCGCGAATCCATGTTACTTGATTCAGAAAAGGATAAGCATAAGGCGGATGGAATAGAATCTCTCAAAAAGGATAGTGTAAAGAAGTCCAAAGTGAGTGTTGTAAGACATCTGTGGGCTGTGTTTGCCAGTTTCAAACTCGACCCTTTTGCTTTTTTGGTTTAATTTCTTGGCGTTTTCTGTTTCTTCACCTTTTGCTTGGAATTTTATGCTTTGCAGAAGCAAGGAATGAGGCGACAATGGACCCCAAGAGAAGGTGTTTCTGGGCCCATCACAAAAGATGAGGAAGAGGTTGCTGAGGCTCTCTATGCTTTGGCTGGAATGTTCCCGGACAATGGCTCCAATCATAATAGTAAGGAACTAGAAGGGGAATCTTTGCCAGATAACTCATCAGTTTTGCAAAACTTGGAGGATAAGGCCAGTGCTGCTCTTGCACTTGAAGGTTATTATTCATTTTCACCCTTGTCTGGGTTACTTGTAAAACTATTCACTCATTCTTTCTCTTTATTATTAATTTTGCCATGGATTCTATTCTAGCCTCAGCAGCTATTCAGGCTGCAAGTCCTTGTTGCCATGGAAGTTCACCTGGAGTAGCTTCAAAAATCAGTTGTTTGAATGAAGATGTTGGTCAAGAACAGCCTGATTTTCCTGAGAGTGCAGCACTCTCGATGCAATCTCATTGCACTTCTCTAACAAAAAATCCTCAGAGCATGCCTAGTGTGATTGTTAAGCGTGAAAATAGCAACAAAGTTGCATTGCACGACTCTGAGTTGTGTCTAGTAATGGGGTGGGTAATTTTTTTGTTACATTCTGAAATATTTATACTTTTCAAGTCCTTTGTCTGTATTTACATGCTCTCTCATCATATTGCAGATTAAATATCCCCAGACAATCAAGGATTGCTCAAGTTGAGAGGAAACCGAATGTGGAATTTAAGGTAATGAACATTTCAACTTTTACAGTTTGTTCGGTCCTACAATAACTTCTTATTTATGAGCTAGTACACTTGTATAATTGGTATTATTGGTTTGCATTTAGGCCAGAGACGTTGATTGTAAGCAACAGGAACATATGATCGAGGAGCAAAAAGGAAATGGTATGCACCCTCATTCTCGAAGATCAAATGCCCTTATTGTTACAGTTGATATCTGATTTTGGTGACCGAAGTATAGGCTGAAAGTTTTTACAAAAATTTGGCTGATTCTCAAACTTCTTTTGTTTCCTTTTTTTTACCAGAACGCCTTGCATTGTGGCCTGGCTTGTCTCCACTGGCACCGGCTGGCCAGGCTTGTCTGCAGTAAGTTTTCGTTCATTCTTAATTTTCACCCAGTTAGGTAGCTTTGCTTACTGTTTGTCCAATGGTGATCATTTTCTTCTTTCCAAGGACTCAAGCTCCTGACTGGCTAGAAGCTGCAATCCGTGCCTCCAAACTGGATTCGATGGAGACTTCAACTTGTTCTTCTAGTGGGAGGGTAAGGGTTATTTTTTGTTTGACTTACACTTACCCGTCATATGTTAAAATCTCTTGATCCTAAATTATGACACTTCACTCAAACAACTATTTATTGTTGCCTATAACAAACCATGCAGGTTTTTATTCCTAAAAGATCATGGAAGAAGTGTGCATCTCATATTCGCATCAGTCATATAATCAAGAGTTTAGAGATGCCAAAAACAGAGGTTATCAGAGAAACTGAGCTTTTTGAATGTCATGAAACGACAGCACGTGAAGGATCAAAGCGTGGAGTTCTTTTAGAAGCGCACAGCTTAAATGGAATGAAAAACGGAATTTCTTCTACTGTGAGGAATCCTCATGAAAGTAAGAATATTATTCTCCAGCAGCAATCTCATTATCGAGACATATCACAGTCTGCTCCAAAACCTGTGGTGTATGGACCTCAAAAGCAAGTAAGCTTAAGGTTAATTTTGGTAATGATGCCACCCCTTGACACCCCTCTTCCTCATGCACTAATGACTATCTTGTTATGCAGAATTTCAATTTCTTGTCCTTGTCAGCAGGAAGTAATGGGTTCAAGGTCGACAATAATAATAATTATAACAAAATTGGAAGTAGGTTGGAACCATTGTCAAAATTGCAAGTGCCTTATTTTCAGTCACTAGCACAGCAGCATGGGGTTGTCATGCCAATTCCTGCGGCTCAGAGTCAGTATGCCTCCACTTCTTTCCTTGATCAGCTTTCTGTGGCAGGACCACAGGTATTAAATATCTCTTTTGTTGCAAGAGCAATGTTATTAAAGTATTATCAATCCAATAAAATGGGCTCGGAAATCTAGGGTCCAACTTCGGTAAAAATAGCTTAATGTGATTATCTATATGAAACGAGGTGGCTAAAGTTTATTGCTAGTTATGAATTGAACAAACTAGCGTGCAATTTAATATCCTCATAAATATGTCACCCTTATTGTCCTACTAATATCGTCACGTCATGCTTTTAATTGAGCGCAGGTTCGGTTGCAGCAACCTCATTATTTTGGTAACCCGTTAAGCGGAACTAATTATAGTTCAATGCTCTTATATAAGCAAGAGAACCGAGGCTTTTGGGGATTGCAACAAGCAGAACAAAGTAGGTCCACAGTAAATTTCAATATAATGAGGACCCAATTTCCTAATTGGCATAGTGGAAGGCATGACACTTCTGCAATGAGTCCGTGTTCCCAAGCCATTCTTCCCTGTTCCTCTGCATCACAAGATATGTTTGGATCTAAGATTTCTTCAATCCCTGGACAACAGAAGCAGCTCCTTGCCCCCTTCCAAGACAAATGGACTAGACCTTCATCATCTCCCTTCATTACATGAAGAAATTAGAGACAGAATATTTAGTGGTACAATGTGGCTGCAACGCAGCTTTTAGAGAGCTGCACCTTTCATGTTAGAAGTACCGCAGAACTATTGTTAGAGCTACTCCGATAGTATGTGTCTAATTCATTGCAAGCGTAGAGAGTAGCACAGCACTAGTGTAGCAAGACATGGAACTTGGAAGGATCGCTCCCTAATATTTTCATTTTGCAGGAAACTAGCACCATCTAACTGAAAATAAAACACCAACATTTGTTCCCTGAGAGTTCATCTGTACCGAAGTTAATCGATTTTTATTGCTTATATACTACACTTATCCTGTTATATTCCATTAAGTGTTTTATCAATTGTTTCAAGACGAGCAAAGAAGTTTATAAATAAATAAATAAATAAAAAGAAACAAAATAGAAATAATCAATAAAAGAAAGGCTATTGAAAACCCTGATTTGATGAATGTCTTACAAATATAAACATATGCCGAATAAGATGCGTAGGTAAAGGGTACTGAATACATGGCTCAAGAAAAAATATTTTCAAAATTCTGTATCACAATTGAAATTGAAGAATTATGCCAAGGGCAAGAGCAAGTCATCGAAACCAACAAACTGCAGAAAAGTAATGTCACTCCAGTTTTTCCAATTCCCCCATTCTCTCAATGATAGCCTGCGAGCAACAAAACAGGTGGGTTATGGAATTTAATTTTTCTGTGTCACGGACTTTATAGCTTAGTCAAAAAAGTTACACCACGAACACCATTCTCGTAAGCAGAGAAATGTACTCCGAGAAGTTACGGAAGTAGGCAACAATGCCAGAAATCGTAGTGTATGGCTTTAACCTTACAGCAGCAGCCACACATCAAGTGCTGAGTAACCCCAAAAAATAGCATACCTTCTTGCTTGTTTCTTGCAGTTCACCCGCTAGAATGAATTCATCAAGTATAAGATAGACCTTCAAGATACACAGGTAAACTACATGAGTAAGTAAGCAATAAAATTAGTAATAATATGGTGGCCAAATAACCACTCCAATCTTAACACTAAGCCACCATGAACTCTACTCAGAAAAACAAAAGAAATAGAGAGATCAGTAAAGCTCATTATATTTAGACATACATTCATACACTGGAAGAAGTTAGTGTATATAACGGTTGGTATTACATATTGATTATCTCTTTGGTTTTTCATAGGTATCTTCCATTGGAGTTAATCCTGTCTGAGACTCGGTTAGACATTAATGTATATAGCATTACATATTAGTGCAGCTAAATCAACAATGTAGCATACTGGTTATTGCAGGTCAAAATTCTAATATAAGCTCAAAAATATATGCAGCAGAAGAGAACAATTAATAGCAATACTGTGAGTAGACATTTTGGCAGATAGACATCTACATACACCGTCACAATTATTTTAGTAAAAATAAACTATAAACCATAAAAAGCAAACTCAGGTGTGGGATTCGGACACAATTGTAGAGGAAAAATAAGATGAATAACAAACAAACCTTATGGAAGTTAAAAACCAAATCGAGCTCACACACATTGCTGAAGAAGTGATCCAGTATTTCAACAAACAAATGAATGCACTCTAAGTATGCCAATTCATTATCAGTGATGTCAACACAGAGTGAGAAAAACAAGCCCGCATATCGCCTGTATATTATCTTGTGCGTACGAAACTGCAAGACACGTTACCATCAGACGGTAAGAACACCGACAAATAAACGCTGTAACAATTCAGACAACCTAAGAGCAACAAAATGAGAACCTCGTCGCAGTTCCATAACATCAATCAATAATCAGACAAATAACGCAATTAGATTGTAGTAAAAAATGATGGAGAAAGAATTGACCTCGACGAAATTAGTGTACTTAGGGTCTCTGTTGACAACGAGGCGATGAACCTAACAAATTGAGGGAAAATTAGGTTAAACGTTATGTGTTGCATGAAGAAGAAGTTGAATCGCGTTGTTGTTGTTACCTCGTATTCGACCTTGTGCTTCTCGGAATCTTCGAGAGGAACGTAGTATTTGGCAAGACGAGTCTTGCCCTGTCTGTTCTGCAACAGAATGAACCGGATCTGCGAACACAAAAAGGGGAAAACAATTTATAAAAACGAAATTGAGAAATTGGAATTGAAGAGATTATGATTACGAGAAAATAACCATTTGCGACGATGAATTAGGGTTGCGTGAAGAGGTGAATTCCCGAATGTATCAGAGCTTCTTCCTTCAATGTCGAGAGCGAGAGACGAAGAAGATGACCATGACAGCTTTACTTTGAAACTCTCTCTTTTATTTTATTTTATTTATTTTAATTTTGTTTTTGCGATGCAGCTAGCGTGTAATGACGCAGACAAGAGACAAGGGTTTTTCCCTTTCTTGACTTTCTTTTTTTGAAGTTTCAACGTTCAAATTAATTTCGAATAAACACTTACAATTATCACTTAAAATTATTTCGTCCCATACCTAAAAAAATGTTGTTGTAATAAAATAGGTTTCTCGTAAAACATGTAAATTTTGCTTTTGGTGATTCTCAATTATTTTTATCTTTATGTAGTTTTAATGTTTCTGTCTAAATATTTGTTATAAATAAATAAATAACATTTATTTAATATTTTTAAAAGTGAATTCATGTTGATATGGTAACAAATATAAAGTGAAATACAGGCAAGAGAGATCTAGAGAAATGAAAATCAAAATTTACTTAATTTAAAGAAAATTCCTTTACGACTTATTTTTTTACAAGAATTTTTTTAAACTCTACTTTTTGTCACGTCCCTTTTAGTTATTATAATTATTTTCTTTTAGAAATTGTAGTAATTTTGATTTTATTAAAAAAAAACTTATATACAGTATCAGTTCACTAAAATTATAATAAATTAATAATAAAAAAATAAAATCACATTTTTTTAATTTAATTATTCTATAAATTTCATAACATTGTGAAATCATTACTAAATATTAAATTTAAATATAAAAAATATTATAATTACATGTGTTTAAAAAATTGGAGGGTATACATGAATTAAAACAATTTTTTTTTTTAAAAAGACAAAAATAACATATTTGTCTAAAAACAAAAATAATATATAACTTGAATAATTTACATAAAGTTCAAATTTCAATGAATAAAAATATTATCAGCCATCATAAGAGTGACCTTTCCCTCTCCCATATACAAAAGGGTCTTATAGTTGGATTCTTCCAGCAAATTCTTATTCTTACCCCCAAAGCTCCATCAAGGGGAAGGGGTTCCAATATTACATACATGCTACATGAACTAAGAATTTTTATTTCCATAATCATTAAGGGTAAATGCCCTATAAGTTTTGTTTGTAGATGGAGTTTGAAGCAGCCAAAAGAGAAGCTCCTATGCCAGATCCATCTTTTGTATGCTCTATCACCACATTCTTTGACTTTTCAATCCCTAGCAGCTCTTTGACTGAACTTTGCAAATAAGCCCTGTATTGAGGATAATTTTCGTACAAGCCCCCATCTATGGCAACAACACTTCTGTTACCATTTCCAAAGATGAGACCTCTCTGATCCTCTTCCATTTTTTCTAAAATCCCCACAATTCCTGCACCAGCTAAGCTCCCACCTCTCTTTACAATAGTCTCACAAACCTCTAAAACTGTTTTTCTTTCACTTAAATTGGATTCAACCTGAAGAGAATGAGCCAATGGCAACACAACACAAAATGAAAATTAGTGACTGAGCGTTATATACAATATTTTAAGCAGATGTGATAAAAAACATATGGCTTATGCTCGACAGCATGACATATTAATATATTCATAACTCTGCATCATCTTGAAAATCTGATCCACAAGGATATTTTTTTCTCCCTTTAACTTAAGCTTTTAAATAAAATATAATTACTGTTGAAATAATGTGTTCTATATTTGCACTATAAAATAACCAAATGATGCTTCTTATACTACTAAAGGTACCATCATTCTCTGTACATGAAAGAAACTATCCGTTAGTAACTTGGTAATGAAAGTTATGGAACAGGTGCTTAAACTTAATGCTACTGCACTGCCATCAATATAGTTTAGGACAAGAAATTTACCCCTGCTATATCGTAAAGGAGGGACCCAACTGCATGTAAATCGCCAGAACAGTCTTGCTGCATGGTACATAGATCTGGGGTCCTGTTAATTTATGCAAAGGCATATTTCAGTTTCAATATAGGTCAAGAGTCTTAAGCTGAAAATATACCTAAGGAACGTAACATGTAAAATAGAGTTATTACATGCAAAGAGTGAAATATGAAAATTGGGATGCATTAATCTATATACTTTGGAGAAGGAATAATTGGGAGAAAATTAGAAATGGTTAAGTGAAATTAGAACTACATGTACATAGAGTGACTGTCATATGATTTCAGCTTAGATTTGTGACACAAAATTAAAATTTACCCGAGTATGAAAGGTGTAGACAGTTCTTGTGGAACAGATTTGCCAAACAAACCACCCTCTTCAGTCATTTTCAGTAGAACTCGTCTAACGATTTCACCTAGGTACATTCCTGAGATTGTCTTTTCAAAGATCTGTCAAGTAATACGAAGACAACTAATGACTCTTCTACTTACTACTGTGTCAGAAGAACATCTAAATAATAAAAGATGGTTTCAAAACATACCTGCTCACCCGGATTGATGCTAGCAGCATCCATTTCCCTATCAAACTCGGTTAATGGAAGACTATTTGAGAAAGCTCCCCACTCAGTGCTAATGATCTGAATCAAGGAATGATTTTTTTCAGATTAAGATGAACTAGTTCATCCATAGCATTAGAATGCGAAGAAAGGAAGGAGAGTAATCAAGTCTTTATTAACCATTTTGCCAGAAGAAGAGGCATAGCCCTGTAACTTAGGAATGGCACTGATCTGCTCAACATAGCAAGCATTGGTTCCAGTACCCAAAATGACAGCAGCCACAACATCATTGTCCCAGTATTCTGCTCCCGCTAATGTTCCCACGGTATCATTCACCTATTAGGTAGTCATTTTCTAAAATTATACCACCACTATATTAGTTTGAACTTTGAGTTTCATTTTGACAAATTGACACATGGCATACCAATTAGAAACTATTCTATTCATGACTTTTAAAGTCAATAGCTAAAACAGCAACAATTTTGAATTATATTATATGGTAATTCATGATTGGATCAGTATATTTTGGGTAAGTTCTTAAACTTTTATGGAACTATTGACATTGAAACAACATACCAGAGCAGAAACTCGCATATCTATTCTTTGTCTTTCCATTGCCTCGTTCAGACAAGCAACCACATCTCTTCCTGCCTGTGTAAAGAGTTCGAAGTTTCAAGCCATGCTAGTATTAGGTTAATATATTTCAATTACTATTTAACTATAGCAGAACACAAAACTCTGGTTAATGATACTGATTAAATGACAACTTGCATTGCCCCTCAATAATGCACAGTGCCCTTGTGTTAAACTTTATGGATTGTTTTAAAAAAGAGTGGCAACTTTTGTTATAGTTTTGTTTTATGTTTTTTTGTGAATGAATGCACACCAAATTAAACAATGGAGAATAGAGAGTGGCTCTGCACTTGTGAAAGGTAGTTAAATGCATACTGTTCCAGAGACTGCAAAACCCTTTGTCCACTTGATTAGTATGCCAGAATCAATAGATGTCTGCTTCACAGGAAATGAAAACGTGAATCCAATCTCTCTCTTTCTTCCCTTTGAGATATGAAATCTACCATCCTCCTTCGACGCAAATTTTGCAAGCCCCGATGCAATGAAATCAAACAATTCCTGCAATCAAACAAAACAAATTTTAGATTTCAAACGAGTAATCAAATATGGCCACATAAAATAATCATAGAGCAAACAAATGAATTAGTTAGTTAGTTACCTGAGATGTCGCAAACATGAGGTCCTGAGGTATGGAAACTTGATCGAACTCAGTGGCGATAACACGCTCATCTTTCCCACCCAACTGCACCCTCAGCACGCGGAAGTTTGTTCCACCAAGATCCAAGGCATAGAACAACCCTTTCTCATTCCTTACATTACATGTCACAACACAACACCACAGCAACAAATCATTAACTATGACTCTTGCAATTTCAATTAAGTTTAACTCAATCTTGCATACCTAACGTGTAATGTAGAAATTCTCCTAAAGTTATATACTTTGATCTGGAACCTTGACGAATAAGGCAAGCTAGGAAGGAAGGGAACGTACATAACATAAACATATCATAACATACCCAGTGGGAAGATTTTCAACATAGGTGGGTATCATGGGAAGGCCGAGCTCAGACCCAGGCCCAAGCCCAAGCCCAGCTCGCATGTCATCAGACATGGCTTTGGCCACTTGCTGAAGAAGGGGCAGAGGAGTGGCACACTCATGCTTCAGGTTCGTCAATATTCTAGTTGGGGTGACTGACACATCAGATCGAAGAGCCACCGTGAATCGCCGCCGTGACGATCGTGAAAGATAGGCTCCCGCAGCGGAGGAAGTGGGGGCAGCGACAGTAACAGACATCATGTTTGTTTTGGTCTTTCTGTGATCGCTTTTTAGCTGATCCAACAAAAACAAGACACTAACCAAACTCACTTCATCATGACAGTTTTTAGTCACAAAACGATTATGTTTTAATTTTCAAGTTACTTACAACACTGTCTGTTTATTATAGTTATTATTAGACATGCCGGTGCACACGTGTTGTGTGCCCACTGTTAGGTTTCTTTTATTTGGGTAAGATGATAACGACCAAAGTTATTATTTATTTTATTAGTTTATTTATTTTAAATTAATTATTATTATTTTATAATTTATTTATTATTTTTTCTTAAAATTAATTTTTACCTGAAATTTTTTATTATAATTATATATATTTAAAAACAAAAGTTAAAAAAATAATATAATATTAATAATATAAATTTGGATGAAAATAAAATAATTTAAATTTTTATAATATTTTATTACTAGTTTTTTTAATATTTGATGAAGTATTATATATATATATATATATATATATATATATATATTTATTTATTTTTCATTTTATAATATTAATTATATTATAATATTTCTTTTTGAAAAAATTATACATTTTACTTTATTTCATTAATTCTTTGTTAACCTTTTTATAAAGTTTGTCATTTTCTTCATTTAAATCATTCCATATTTCCCTAAAATTATATAAATTTCATGAGTTCAGAATTTATTTAACTTTATTACTAAGTGAAAACCATTATTATAATAATAATAAATAAATAAAGATAAATATAATAACTCTATGCGCTAGTATCATTATAATGAAAAAAAAAATTATTGACATTTTTTAATAAATAGAAATAGAAAAAATAAAATAAAATTTAAGATTCTTTTGAAGTATTTGTTTTATTAAAATATAATCACGTTATCATTAATAATTATAGAGGAAAAAAAAACGTATAAAACACAGAAATCAGTAAAAAGAAAAAAAAATAAATATAAGATAAAAATATCAATTATAAAGAAAATAAAAAAAGTATACAAAAATAAAAAAATTATATTTCTACCTTTATATTTTTTATATGTAATTGAAAAAAAAAACATTTTATTAGTTTATCTCTTAATTATTTATTACTTTACATCTTTTTTAATATGAAAGAAAAAAAAAGAGTAATTAATATTCTGAACCTATGTGTTAAGAGTACATGTTTTATAAACCATTTTTTATTTTAATGAATTAAAATTATATATATATATATATATATATATATATTTGTTGAAGACAAATAAACCATTTTAAGAAGATAAACTGAAAGAGAATATATAATTAAAAGAATGAAAATAAATAAAATGATAATTTTTAATTATTTTTATTTATTAGTTTATATTTAAGAGACAAAAATGAATAATTAAAGAAATGAAGAAAAGAAAATATTGTTTATTAATTTTATTTATTTTATATATATTTAAAAAATTAAGAAAAAAACTTAATTAAAGAAATAAAAGAAAAAATATAAGATAAATAATATATTAAACTATCATTACAAATAAATTTCATATATATATATATATATATATATATATATATATTTATTTATATATTCTTACATATTATATTATATCAACCAAGATTCAGAAAAGTTTTTTATGGAAATATGCTAATCGTTCTATGAAAAAAATTAATTTTAAAAAATATATTTCATATATTACATTTATATTAAAATATATTAATACAATAATATTAATAAGTTAATCTATACATTTTATAATTTTTTACTGTTTTTATATTTAAGCTATAGAAATGTGAGTTTTATAGAATAATATGTAACTGACTGAAAAATATTTTTTAAAATTATTATATATAAGAATTAAATATCCCATATTTTCTTATAAATAATTTCACTTTTACATTTTAAAATTTAATTTAAATAAAAAAATATAAACTTTATTGATTTTTGCTTAAAAAAGTTAAATTATTACTTAAAATTTAAAAGGGGTACTAATATAAGTTACTGAGGTATAAGCATAAGTAAATATAAGTTACTGAGGTATAAGCATAAGTAAATACAAGTTACTAAGGTATAAGCATAAGTAAATACAATTTTATCTGTATTAAATAAATAAAAAATTGAATGATTTGAATTTTATATAAGATGATTATTAGTATTTGTAATACATGGAATAACTCTAGTTAATGATTTTTTTTTGTTTTTAATATAACCTTTCTCATGTATTCTCATATATATATATAAACTACATTGATAATATATATAAACTACATTGATAATATAATAAATGATGAAATACACAATAAAATTATGCAAGAAATTCATTTCTCTTGCTTTTTATTCATGTTAGTTTCAATAGAATTAGTATTCAAAGCCTAGACATTCTAGGATCTATGTTTCAAAAATAACGTTTGTGTACGATGGACAGACAAAGTGGTTGAAGTGAAAAAACTAATTGTGTGAAACAACATAGTATGGTATCAAGAACGTGTTTTTTTCATTTCTTGATCAAGTAAATGTGAGTAAAGAATGGCTGGTGGTGATAATCACATGCCTTCTATGAATCTTCCAATTCTCACAGATAAAAATTGGGATCGATGGAGTACACAGATGCGGGTGTTATTCAAGTTTCAATATGTGAGTGATGTGGTTGAAAGTGGTTGTCAGGTGCTTGCTTCTAGTACTACAAATACGCAGAAGGTTGTGCCCAAAAAGAATCATAACAAGGCACTATTTATCATCCATTAATGTGTTGATGATGTTCACTTTGAGAAGATTCAGAATGCAACCATTGCTAAGGAAGCCTAAGACATCTTGGTTCGAAGTCATGCAGGAGGTGAGAAGATCAAGAAAGTGAAGTTCCAAACCCTTAGGAGACAATATGAGTTACCGTAGATAGAGGATAGTGATAGAATCATTGAGTATTTTACCAAAGTACCCATAATCACAAATCAAATGAAGGGTTATGGGGAATCTATCACTGATATGATTGTTGAAAAAATCATGAAATCTTTGCCACAAAAGTTCGATTATATAGTGGTGGTGATAGAAGAATCGGAAGATCTGTCAATGATAAAGATTGAGGAACTTCAAAGTTCTTTGGAGGCACATGAGATGAGACTAGATGATAGAAATCCTATCAAGAATTCTGAGCAAGCCTTGAAAGTACATCATTCCAAGAATGATGAAAGAAAGAAGCAAAAGAAGTAGAAAGAGAAAAGAACAAAGGGAGATTGCAAGTCTGATAAAGTCATGCATGATCATGATAGCAAGCCTGATTCAGTAGAAAGAAAGGGTAGATCAAATAAGTGTTAGGTATCAGACAAAAACATAAGCACACACAACTAAAATAAAAAAATGAGAAAAACATCGACAATATGCAAAAGAGTAATTCCACTAATGAAAGAAATTACAATCATTCTCTCTCTACTTCCAAGGACAAAATAATAAAACCTTCTCCTGAAAATAAAAGAAAAACAATTCCAAGAAAACCTAAAAGGAGAAACTATTTTTCTCTCTTAATTTATCTCTCAAGTACTAAAGCAGCAAGAGAAAGAAAAGAAAGTGATTTTTGTGTATTTTACAAAGTAAACATTGTGCTCATTTTATAGTAAGAAAAGTAAGCACCAAATTAAGATTTCCTCGATGTGGGACTTTTCTTCTCACAATTTGCCACTTGAAGATTTTAATTAAATTAATCAAATCTTCACACCATGCTTGCTTTATTCTTGCAATCCATGTCGCTTATTTTTTCGCTAGATCACAGTAGGATCGACTCCATACAAACTTGTCAGCACTAACCAACTTTGTCATAACATCTGCTAGGTTCTCATTCGTGTGAATCTTTTGCATATCCACACTTCCTTCTTCTGCTACTTCCTAAACAAAATGATATCCTATTCTTATGTGCTTTGTCCTGGAATAAAAGGCTGGATTCCTTGCAATGTGCAAGGCACTCTGATTGTCATAATATACAACAATTTGTTGTTGCTTGTGCCCGAGTTTTTCCATTATCTTCCTAATCCAAATAATTTCCTTACATGCCTCGATGGTTGCCATGTACTCAGCTTTTGTGGTAGACAGACCTATAACATCCTATAATTTGGATAACCAACTTACTGCCCATCCTGTAACTGTAAACACATAACCAGTAGTAGATCTCCTTTTATCCAGATCACCTGCAAAATCTGAATTAACATAGCCTCTGACAACTAGTTCTGATCCTCCATAACAGAATGCAACACATGTGGTTCCTTTGATGTATCTAAGGATCCTCTTTATAGCACTCCAATGCTCTCCACCAGGATTTCCCATGAGTTTACTAACTACTCCCACTGCTTGTGCAATGTTTAGTCTTGTACAAATCATGACATACATAAGACTTCCCACTGCTGATGCATACAGTACTCGAGACATTTCCATCCTCTCCGCTTCATTGCAGGGACTCATACTTGAGGATAACTTACAATTGATAGGAAGTGAGGTGAAAATTAGCTTGCAGTGTTACATGTTCAAGCGTTACAAGATTTTCAGTAAGTAATTCTTCTGAGAAAGTCAAACCTTCCTATCTTTTCTGTCTCTATGAATTTACATCCCTAAAATCTTGTTTGTTGGTCCCAAGTCCTTCATGTCAAACTCCCTAGCCAATTGTGCCTTTAACTATTGGATTCGATCTATGTTAGGGACTACTACCAACATGTCATCCACATACAACAACAAGATAACAAAATTATTATCACCAAACCTATTGTAATATGTACAATGCTCTGAGCTCAGTCTATTGTAACCAAAGCAAATAATGAAGGGATCAAATCTTTTATATCAACATTTGGGTTCCTGTTTTAGACCGTATAGAGATTTAGTCAACATGCAAACCAAGTTTTCTTGTTCTTTAAAGTCTTCCGGTTGGAGCATATAAATTTCCTCTTTAAAATCTACATGAAGAAAAGTAGTCTTTACATCCAATTGTTCAAGATGTAAATCAAATGCAACACATATAGCCAAGACAACTCTGATGGACATTAATCTGACAACTGGAGA